TTTAATTGTTATATATTGTTTAGTGCAAACTAGTTTGATTTAATCTCAATAAAAAACATTATAGAACAATTTAAGATCTTTAAAATTGATTTTTTGTATTTTTTTTTGTACGACTAATGATTTCGATGATATAATAATTTGAATGTTCGCATGAACGACGTTTTTTTTATGGATTTATATAACTTACAAGCATGAATAACTTCACAAAAAGACTCTCAAATTTTGTTCGCGAAATATGCGTCTCATTTATTTTTTATCTGTGGAATATGTCAGAATATTTAACAAAAAAATAAAAAATGATGTTTCAAAGATCTCCGGTTTGACGTGAAATGTCTCATGTATCATTCATAAATTATTTAAGATAAAAAGAAATAAATATTCGGGAGAGAATATTTATTTATTTTATAATATTCTTGAGGCTTCCACGGATGTTTTCTACACAAAGATTATGCGTTTCGCATAAGTTTCCTCCGTGTCTAGATTCATTCTTGAAATTTCCAAGAATGCATTCTTTTTATCTTAAATAATTTATAAAAGATAAGATGATTCCACGTCAAAACCGGGGACTTTTGAAATATATCGTCATTTCTTATTTTTTGTTAAATGTTCTAACATATAATCTTTACTTATGTTTTTATTTCTTTGATTGGGAGTATATATAAAATTTACTCTGTGTGTGTGTGTGTGTGTGTGTGTGTGTGTGTGTGTGTGTGTGTGAACAATATGTATAATTATTTTTTAAATAGCTTAATTTTAAAAAATTTAATACATAAAAAATAAATGTAAAATAAAAGAAAAATTTCAAAATAGATTAGTCGTTGATAAGACAATTTTTATGTTAATGAATAAATATTCGAGTCTTAACTAATATACCAACCTGCTTGCGAATCGCCCATCGCAATACGATAGGCTTTATGCAAAACGTCCTCGTTGAAGAAATAATGTGGGAAAATCTCGTAAATAGGAGGCACAAGGATGTTATTGGTATCCGGCCGATGGGTCACGGCAACACTCAACACGTATATGTACATACATTCGTTTATGTGAAAACGTGCCCATACTGCAGTATTATAGAAAGTGTCAAAATCTTTGGCGGAATATAAAACGCGGAAGAAGCAAACCGCTTCTTGGTAATGCTGTGGATGAATTCCAGAAAATATTTCTCCCCGTGGGAGCATTCCGTGTTTCCATCGCTGCAGGAATTCAGTCACTGCTGCCTATAGAATAACAAATCAACATGCATATTATTAGATTTATTTTATTTTATTTTACTTTTTTATTAAATTGAATTAGAAAACCAACTTGTTCGAGATTTTAATAGTTTTTCTATATATGCGATGTACGAGAGATGTGTAGAAAATTTTCTGCCAAACTTTTTTTAAAGTTAAAAACTGTAATAGCTTATAAAATAATAAAAAGATCTTTTAATAAATACAAATCTAAAAGTCGTTCCATTATTTCGAATATTGTAATATAGTAAGACTTACATGACAAAAATTATCTTGAT